TCCCTGGCCGGCAGCAGGTGGAAAGTGCTGGCATGAACGAGGCCGTCGTCCCTCACCGCTCAGACTCCACTCCGCACAGGTGCTGTCACCTGGACTCTTACCAGGTCCCCCAACCACCCCCATATGAGGAAGGCAGTGGTTACTGTGAGGAAACTGAGGCACAGAGGTCCAGGGTCTTACTCTGAGTTGCACTAAGACCTCTTCTTCTGGCCACAGATCTAGATTTCTTTCCATGAGATTCCAGAGCAGAGAGGGGTGGGGCATCTAGATCCTGAATTGCAGTCATAGTTGTAGATGTGGATTCTAGAGGAATCATCCCAGTGGGAACCAGAGGAAGTGCCTGGAGACCTCAGGATCCCCTCCCTTACCCAGACCTGCTCCGGACCCCTCTAACATGAAGGACCTCACCAAGGCCATGCCACCAGGCACCGGGATGAGCACTAAGGAGGGTCTCCAGAGAGTTTGCCCAGCCAGGAGGGGTGCCCCTCCCTGGTGGGGAGAGCTCTGTGTTATCTCCCCAGTGAGCCTCCTGAGCCACCTTTTCTCCTTTAGGACGTGGACTGTGCCTACCTGCACAAATCAGACCTGGAGGCCAACACGGAGGCGCTGATCCAGGAGAACGACTTCCTGCAGCGACTGTATGAGTTGGTGAGGGACCACAGAGCAGTGGGGCAGCAAGGCAGGTGTGAGTTAGACATTGGACAGGACTTGCCACCATCTCGGCTTCTGAACCCCTGGGGTGGGGGCAGCGCGGAGCAGAGTTGAGAGACCTGAGGCAGTTTATGCCAGAAGGGGAAGTGTAGCTTCGGGTCTCACTGCCATGCCCCAGACAGGCTGGTGTTCCTGGTTACTATGATAACAGGTATCACAAATTGGTAAATTCTGGTCCCAGACCCAAAGGATGGAGACAGGAGGCCCCAACTGAAATCGGGCAGTGCGCCTCCAACGTGAGCTCCTCTCAGCTTCAGGACTCTGCGCCTGAGGAGCACTGAGAGGTCCCAGGGTTGAGCGGGGACTTCACCTTGGAGGGCGGGGCTTCAGGAGTGAGGCTGTGGAGGAAGCAGGGGAAGGGGACGGGGGAGGACCGTGAGAGTGGGGCTCTGGTCAAAGAAGCTCCTACCACTCCCCAACCCCATCCCCCAGGAGCTCCAGGTCCTCCACACCAATATCTCAGACACCTCGGTCATCGTCGAGATGGACAACAGCCGGGACCTGAACCTGGACAGCATCGTGGCCGAGATCAAGGCTCTACGATGACATCGCCAGCCGCAGCCGGGCTGAGGCCGAGTCCTGGTCCCGCAGCCAGGTGAGTGGGCCCAGGGCCCCTTCCCGGACCCCCAGCAGGAAGGATGCTGAGAAGGTTTGGCCTTTGTCAAGGTGGAATGAGCAAGGGAAGGGCAGGCAGCTCTCAGGATGCGATGGCAGATGTGCAAGCTGTGGGGCCCAGTGGGATGTCCCATCCTGAGCCCCAGGAGCCTCTCTGCTTCCCCCAGTGCGAGGAGATAAAGGCCACGGTGGTCCGGCACGGGGAGACCCTGCGCCGCACCAAGGAGGAGATCAACGAGCTGAACCGCCTGATCCAGAGGCTGACCGCCGAGATCGAGAATGCCAAGGGCCAGGCAGGACAGCCTGGCCCACCCCTCCGTGTAGGAAGACAATGAGGTTGGCCTGCAGCAGGGGGATCTAAGTTCGACCCCTTGCCAGTGTGTGGGAAAAGGAGCAAAAATCAAACATGAGGACAGTTGGGCTCTCAAACCAGCCCCGCCACTAGCTCACCACGTGATTTGGGGTCAGCCATTGCGCTCTCTGGCCCATGGTTCTAAATCAGTGATCACACACACTCAGATGTCCACCGGGGTTAGTAATGAGTGAAGTAGGCTGGTCCGATCCAACTGAGGCAGGCCCTATGGAACTGCAGGCCCACTAGGGCCAGATCCTCTGATTTTTCAAGAGAAGCCAAGAATCTGAATTTTTATGTTGAATTTCCAAAATTAAAGACACTGAGCCAACATACCCTGGGAGCACTAATTTGCAACCCTTGACCTAACAAATGGGTAAGTTCCCTTCTTCCTCTGGTGGTCAATGGTCAGTGGATGCCTGGCCTCTGACCCTGAATCCAGAACAGGGAGCATTAATAACCCACCTCTGCCCCCCAGAACTCCAAGCTGGGGGCCACCACTGCTGGCCAAGGCCAAGCAGCAGGGCGAGGCGACCCTCAGTGACGCCAAGTGCAAGGTGGCCGGGCTGGAGGAGACCCTATAGAAGGCCAAGCAGGACATGGCCTGCCTGCTGAGGGAGTACCAGGAGGTGTTGAACTCCAAGCTGGGCCTGGACATCGAGATTGCCACCTACAGGCACCTGCTGGAGGGCGAGGAGCACAGGTGAGGCCCTCACCCTGGGGAGGATGTCTCTTCAATGCCCCCCAAACTGGGCTTAGAGCCAGGAGTGTGTTTGCATATTATTTGCATCTAATTTGCATCAAGCTTACTTGGAGGAGGGAATTTGCAGGTGAATAGTAGATTTCATCACTTTTGCTCCCCCCAACTAATTTTTGTCTCTTTGCTCTCCAGGTAAGGTTGTGTGAGGGCGTTGGTGCCGTAAATGTCTGTGAGTAATCTATACTGTGGGTTCTGAAATAAGGGCTTGGGGTTCCAGGTGGGCAAACTTTTTCTTAAAGGGCCAGATAGTAAATATTTAGGCTTGTGGGCCGTGCAGTCTCTGTCTCAGCTCTTCAGCTCTGTCCTTGTGATGTGAAGGCAGCCACAGCCTAAGCAATACTTAAAGGATAGACATGGCTGGGCGCCAATTAAACTTTGTTTACAAAAACAGGAGGCCAGCAGGTGTATAGTTTGAAGACCCTAAAAGGAAGGAGGAGTGTGGCAGTGAATGATTATGATAACTTGAATAGCTTATTTCTGTCTATAGGGATGGCCTGGGCTAACAGTTTATCAAGGGTGCTTGAGGTTAGACTGCAGGAAGGAGCGCCCAGGTGTGAGGATGTTGGGCTAAGGGGAAGATAGAAATGGAGGATAAAAGAGGGGGCTGCAGGCCACGACCTTGCTCGGGTACTAAGCCCTGTCTTCCTCCTGCGGGCGTCAGCAGCTCCCGGGGCCGGGTCGTGTGCGGGCACCTCTGCGTGTGCGGCTCCCGGCCCGTGGCGGGCAGCGCCCGCAGAGCCCCCTGCGGCGGGAACCTGGCGGTGAGCAGCGGCCTGAGCGCGCCCTGCGCGCCCGGCCCGTGCGCGCCCTCGGGACAGAGCTGCGGCAGCAGCCGCCTGGTGCGGTTTGCGTAGCGCCTCCCGCCGTGTGAATACACCGCTCCGCGAGCGGCCGTCCCGGCCTGCCGCGGCGGCCCCGGGGCTCCGAAAGGCGCTGGGTGTGAGGCGGAAGGGCTTCGGGAACCGGCCGCCCTGACGCTGCTGCTTCTCTTCTTGCCTCTCCCCGCTTCGTCTCCTCGTTTCTTCCAGGGAGGCCGGGCTCCTCGCGCGCATGTCTGGCAGCTCACCCCAACCGCAAGAGTCTAAATGACTGGTTTCCTCGCAGCCCTGGGCAAAGATCCAGTCCTGTCTCGGGCTGCTCTGGGGGCTTGGACGCGTGTGGTTTCTAAGGGACACATGGGCCCCAGGGCCCCTCGGTATGGACGCGCTGCCGTGCGCTGCGCGCCCCCTGCCTTCTAAACCCTCTGAGGTTGCGGCTCTGAGGAATCACTTTCCGCAGCTGCCTGGGCTCCCTTTCTCTCGCTTGGTCCCCACGTTTCCAGTAGAGGTCATGGCTCATATATAAGAAGCTCTGGTCATACGTTTGTGCTTACACATGTGGCCATCCGGCCCAGTTTTCACCCGGGTCGGGGGCAACAGAGGTGTTCTCAGCCAAAAAAGGATGGGCCGGCAGCCCAAAAAATTCAGACACACAGAAGCATGAGGAGGAGCTAGAAGGGAGGTGAGAAGGGCAACAGGGAGGAGCCTTAATCAGGAGGGGAAGGGCCGGGCTCCCCCGACACCCGGGATGGGGACCTCATCACTTGTTGCTGCTGGGACACTGGTGGTCCACTTCCTCCACTCCCCAGTGCACCCCCACCTCAGCATATGAAAACTCCTGGCCATGGGATCAAATACACAGAAACCAACACTCCCTAGGCAGCCCCCCACCCCACACACACACCACCACCATCACCCCTGGGGGGCCCAGACACAGAGACCCCCCCACCTCCTCCCCAGCACCAATCATATGTGCTGCTGTCCATCAGAGATGGATATTCCCAAGCATAGACCACAAAAACACTCCACATGCTCACAGACACACAGACCCCACATCAGAGACCCTGACACAGATGCCCCCACCAAGCACACACTTAACACATAGATGCCACCCCCCCCCCCCCCCCCGCCAGAGATCCAGAATACACAGCCCATCCCTCAGCCCACAGACCCAGGCCCAGAGCTCTGTAGCAGAGATGTAGACTCTGGGAACCCCCCACCCTACCCCCTCCCACCGCCATCACCCCCACCACCCCCCAGACAGCCCCCTCCAGGGCCCCAGGGCCTGGCAGACCAGCACCAGGAAGGGCTCAGGGCAGCTGGTCTCCCAGTTGGCTGGTCCGCCTGAAACTGGGACCTGGGCAGCTGAAAGTTTGTGGTCTTCTCACCGCAGAGGAATGTACTCTGGCAGCACAGGGCATGGGGGGCGGGGTACAAACAGCGTTCCCACCCCCTCAGCAGGAGAGGACTCCAGTGCCCACTTCCTGGCAGGGCCAGAACTTCCCTGGGGCGTTTCTGGGCTTCTTCAGGAGAGGAGTTGGGATTGGCCCCAGCCCTGGGAGGAGGCCAAGGCCTCACACTGTGTCAGAGCCAAGTTCTTTAGAGCAGCACCCCCATCTCACCAATGTGCTTTCCCAGTCTCCTGCACAAAGCCTTCCCAGCTATCAGGGCAGACCTTGTGCTCTCCAGGTCCCTTCCCTCCCCACCCCCTTCCCATCCAACCTAATGAAGCCAGGATACCAGGTGCCGGGCATGGAGCTCACCCAGGCCTTGCAAAGAGGCTGCTTTATTGGAAGCTATTCTGACATCACTTTTCAGACTGCCTTGCAGTCTTGGGACCAGGGATGGGAGTCTTCCTGTAGGGGAGGGAGTATGGGTCTCCTCACGCCCAGGGCTCAGTGCGGGCACTCCTGCGGGTAGCAGATGTGGTCCTGATGGAATAGGCCTTGAGGACCCCGGGCCCTCCGCTGCTCGAGAAGCTCAAGGCATTGCTGCCCATGGTTCCCCCGAAGGCCAGCCCGCTACCAGAGCCGCCAGTGGAATTCACTACAGCTGGGCGAGAAGGGGGAGGGCTCCGTCAGCATGAGGCCCCATCCCTTCACTCCACCCCATCCACCTGCCATAGCTGCCCCTCTCCCTACCCCCCCACCTCCCCTTCCCACCGCCCCACCATGGGCCAGCCCAGGAGCCTCCCACAGTGGTGGGGGCTGCTCCACAGGTGCCCCCTGCCCTGCCCTGCCCTCTTGCACAGCTTCCCTGGCCCATTGAGCCTGACTGGATGGGAGCTCCAGGGCACCTGATGAAAGGGAAGGAAACTCCTGGTCCCCACAAGGCGGGCCCTCAAGCCAATGTGGCACCCTATAGACCCAGCCCAGTCTGGACAGCACAGGGGCTGGGCCGCAGCCACGGACTTACAGATGTTCACGGCTCCCACTCCATCTCCAGCCAACCTGGGGGCAGAGGAGAGACCTGTGAGAGCAGCTCTTTCCTCGGTGCTGGAGGATGCATCCCCAGGCACCCCTCCGTCCAGGCCCCAAGCAGGATTGCTGTTCCTCCCTCTGTCCCCATACTTCCAGGCTTCCTTCAGCCTGGTTGCAAAAATGAGTGAGGAGGAGTGGAGGGGGGTGGAATTTGGCCCTCCTACTTACGAGTTACATGACCTTGGGCAATGTCCCAGAGCCTCCATTTCCTCATCTACAAATGAGGCCTAACTCAGCACCAACCTCACAGAGTCATTTGTGAGGGTTAAATAACATGATTTACCTAACACCCTGGGCACACAGGATTCGGTAAACGGTAGCTGCTCTTATTATTTCTGTAGACGGCTGCCTCCCCGAACCAGATCAGAAAATCCTCAAACTGGGCTGTAGCGTATTGATTCCTGTATCCCCGGCCCCTAGCATGGGGTCCGGCACATAGTAATTACTTAATATGTGTTGAAATAATTAATGCATTGTTGACAGAGTGAACACGGCTCTCACCGGGACTGGGGAGGGAGGGGAGGGAGGGGAGTGGCTTTAAGCAGCCTGTGGGGCTGAAACAGGTCTTGCACTGGAAATTAAAAATCCATCGAGACAGCTGGGTGTGTTTGTTTTGTGACTCACAGCCCCATTGTCACCAAGCCCTTGGCCTTGGGGATGAGTTTACTCTGCAGGGGGGAGGGGAGACCTCACTTTGGTGGAGGGAGTAGGGGGAGCCCAGCCGGCCACAGCAGCCCCAAGTCCAGAAAGGGGGCGGAGCAAAGGCCAAAGGAAAGAGCTGGGTATGCTAGGAAGCTTCCAGGCCCCTAGTTCAAATAGCCCCTGCAAGTGCTAGGAGTTGCTGGCAGTTGTGGGTGGGGAGGGAAGCCAGGTTGCAATGAGGCAGCCATTCCATGTAAGAATTTCTGGTACACTGACTAAAGAACTCAGCAGGAAGGGACCTGAATGTCTAAGGCTCTAGTTCTTTGTGTAATTTTTCTTTTCTTATCCCAAATAAGTATTTGCTTTTGTGCCTAATTTCATATTTGTAACTTTGCATTCTTAAAAGACCCCCCAATTGCATGAGTTTCTAAGACCACAAATCCTAGACCTGCCCCTGGGAAAGGCTGAGGGGTAAAGGGATAAAAACAAGGTGTCCATCCCCATGTCCCTGAAGGAGTGGAGAGAGGACAGTCTCCTCTCAGAGAACGAGGATCTGAGCCCCAGTGACAGCAACCCGGACTGAGATTAGACTTTCAGAGGGAATGTCTCGCTTGCTGTGTGACCTTGGGCACACCACTTACCATCCCTGAGCTTCAGCCCCCTCATCTGCCCATGGGAGGAAGTAGATCAGGCCCCACTCTAAGGGTCCTTCAGCTCTGATTCTATGAGGAAAAGAGGATGTGTGTTCCCAAGAAAGTGGGGCCCCTGGACCCATGGTGGAGGAGGGCACAGAGAGGGGCATCTTGGTGGGGACAGCTGGGCTCTGGGGCTGCCCTGTGCCCCAGATCAGCTGCTCTCTCTTCCCAGAGGCCTCTGGTGTTCAATTCCTCTTCCCACAAAAACTGGGTGCCAACCCAGGCAGGGGACAGGTCAACTGCAGGGGCAGAGACCTTTCCTTCTCCTTCCCTGACTCATATCCTGCCGCCCCGTTTCTTTTCTCCTTCCCCCAGCATCCAGGCACTCGGACTCCAGCGCTCCCTCGTTCCCCAGTTCCCTCCTCTCCACTCCACTCATCCTCTGCATTCTCTCCCCAGCCCCTCAGGAATAATGCTCAGAAGAGAAAAAGATCTCTGTAAACTCAGCATTTTACAAATGCAGGTGACTGATCTCGGAATGCTTCCTTTGCAGATCTGCAGATCTCTACCCATCTATAAGCTCCCTGAGGGCAGAAACGTGTCTTACATATCACATATCTCTGTGTTGGGTTCCAACAAGCCAAGCCATGATGAGTCCTCCTTCCAAGCCTTTGTCCACTGTTTCCTCTCACTGTCTCCCAACCCTAACTTTCCCCCAAGGCACAACTTGAAAGCCTTATCTGTTGACTGATTGAATCAACCAACCCATCAAGGTGAGAATGAAGACCCAACTCCATGGACATAGGTTCCACATCTTTCATGAAGAATTTCCTGTAAGATGAACCCAGCCCAGCCTCCTCTCCAACTGCAGGTGAGTATGCAAATATCTCTGGGGACAGTGGGAAATTAACCTCCTCCACCACATTCAGGCAATACCAGGTGACTTAGCACTCAACTATGTAGTGAGAAGCAGCCTGGCGTCATGGAAGATGCTTGGATCAGGAATCAGCAGGGCTCGACTGCACACTGGCCCTGCCCTCTCAATTAATAAAACTGAATCACAGTGTCCCCTCTGTAAGCTAGGGAATCAGCAGTACCTGACCTGCTTACCTGAATGTGGTCTGAGGATCAAGTAAGATGACCCTGCTTATGGCCACACACATGAAGGGGCTGTTATTCCTTCAACTTTCCCACTGGGCTTTATGCCACATGGTCTCTCCTTCCAAAAGGTCATCTCATCAAGGACAAAGAAGCAAGCATCAGCGGTACCCTCCCTGCACTTCCCACCCCCCGGCCCCTGCAGAAGAGGGTACACAGGACATGCTGTAGATGGATGAATGTCAAGCCCCAGGCCCCACTGAGCCCCAGAAGGATCTCCTTCCCGGCCTCCGTGTCCTCACCGGCTCTCCTCGCCCTCCAGCAGCTTGCGGTAGGTGGCGATCTCGATGTCCAGGGCCAGCTTGACGTTCATGAGCTCCTGGTACTTCCGGAGCTGCGTGGCCATGTCCTGCTTGGCCTTCTGCAGGGCGGCCTCCAGCTCCCCCTGCTTGGCGCGTGCGTCCTTGAGCGCCACCTCCCCACGCTCCTCGGCCTCGGCAATGGCAGCCTCCAACTTGGCCCGCTGTGGGAGTAGTGGAGCTGTGAGCTGGGGACAGGCCTCACCAGTCGCTGCCTTCCTGCCTCCCCACCCTGCAGGGAGCACCTGGGCCACTTGTTTACAGTGGCTGCACTGGCACCAGCCTGCTCCCCACACACCAGGGAATCCCAAGGGTTAAAAACATGGGTTTTCATGCCCAATGCTTAGGTTCCCATTCAGGCTCTACCACTTACTAGCTCTGTCACCTTGGACCAATCAACCCTTCTAAAGGAGACTCCAAAAGTCTCCTCTTTTCTGAAATAGCAATAATCACAGTGTCTACCTCATAGGGATACTGCACGGGTTAAATGAGGTAATACACAAGTCCTTGGCACAGGATCTAGCATACAGTAAGTGCTTAATAAATGCCATTATGATCACTCATTAATAAATGCTATTATGATTTACAAATGCCCAGCCCCCCTTCCCCAGCTGGAGGAGCTCCAGGGCCAAAGGATCCTAGTTGAGTCCCCAAATTTCAGGCAGCTGAAAAGTACCAAAGCCACCTTCAAAACAGGAGCCAGTTTGGAACAGGCCCAGAACAGGGGGACTTGTAGCAGAGAGACGCTACTTAGAACTCTCAGACCCAAAATGCATGATCAACGGCCCGCCTGGGCTGGGTTGGAGTGGTCAGATTCACGATGGACCTGAGCAGCAGCTGCCACTTCCTGCCCAGCCTTAGCATCCCTCCGCTTGTGGCTCATCCCCCACCACCAGGAGCCTATCTAGTCCTGAGCCTCCTCTCGTTCAGCTCAGAGGGCAGCCATCCCCATCCCCTTCTTCCTTCTTCATCCCCAGTGCTCCTCCTCCCTCCTTCTCACTGACCCTTCTCTGCCCTCGGGTGCTCTCCCTTCAGCTCACGCACTCTGCCTGCCTCTCTTCCCAGCCCATCCAGTCCTCCCCAGGAGGCCCTCTGATGCTCTCTACCCCTTCCCCATCAGTGCCCTTCTCATCACACTGGTGCCCCCTTGGCCAGGGCCATCTCACTGCTTCTGGGCCCCTTGATGGTGGTAGACACCCCAACTCTGGGGCCTGGCTCTGCCCTGCTGTGTGAGAGGAGAACCAGATGTGGCAGAAGCTGCAGGGTTTGGGAAACTACCATTCATTATTCCGTGCCTCCCCTCCCGGCCTGGAAGCTGGCTTGCTTCACCCATGATTCATGGCCCTGCATCTGTGCCAGGAGGTGGCCTCCGACCTTATGTAAACAGGCCTGCAGGGCACCAAGGGGAGGACATTTCTGGTAAATCATCTCCACATCACATCCCTGCAGCTCATCTGGAAATTAGCTCTGTGAATCTGCTACACTAGTCACCTTCCCTCCCTCCCCACTGCAGACACCTGCTCAGGCTTAGCTGCCCGGTCCACACCCGTGCTTGGCCAGGACTTGGGGGACCCTTCCCTCGTTAACGCCCCCCACATCAGCTTCACAGCACATCCTCCCATCGTCTCTCATCTGAGACCTGTGCCTGTATCATGCCCCAGGTGCTGGGAAGGGAGGAGCAGCAAACCAGACAGACAGGGTCCCTGCTCTCAAGGCATTTTTTTGTATTCCAGTGGAGGTGGGGACAGTCAGCAACTTAATTAATAAGTCAGAAAATTTCAGATAGTGATAGGTGCTTCAGGGAACTTTAGACAGACAGCTGGAAGAGTGACTGAGTGGCTGAGGAAGCCATCTCTGGGAAGGGGTCTTTTGTCCTAAACCCCAGGGATGTACAGAGCTGGGAGAACCACATTCCAGGTGGAGGGAACACCACGTGCAAAGGCCCTGAAGCATGCACATGTTCGGCAAATGCAAGACACAGAAAGCAGGCTGGTGTGGCCGGAGCACAGCGACAGGGGGAGTGGTGGGGAGTGAGGTCAGGGGATGGGATGGGGCCTTGTGAGCCATAGTGAGGGTTTCTGCTGGCCTCTGCACCCCCTCCACTCCCCACGGAGTGTGAGTGCCCAGGTACAGCATACCGCACCCAGAGCAAGGAGAGTGCTCAGTACCAATATGGTAACAAATGGTGGTTCTTCTCTGGCCGGCCAGCCCAAAGCTCCCTCCATAGGCTCCACGCCCAACTAGGACTCCTCTCCTCCCTTCAGCCTGAGCCAGGACCTGGCCAAGAACATTCCATCCTGGAGATCACACAAGTGGAGAGACTTGAGCTGCACCAGCCTCAGCCCCGGGGGGTGGGGGCAGGGCCTACGCCTTTGCTCCCAGCCTCCTGCTTTCGTTCTCAGCTGGCTACCCTTCACACGCCCCAAGAAAGAAGGAAGAACAAGGAAGAGGGCTCGTCCCCACCTGGTTCTTGATGTTGTCGATCTCAGCCTGCAGCCTCTGGATGGCCCGGTTCATCTCCGCAATCTCGTTCCGGGTGTTCCGGAGGTCGTCCCCGTGCTTCCCAGCCTGGGCCTGGAGGGTCTCAAACTGGAGGGGCCACACAGAAGAGGGGGCAATGATTATACGTGACTCTTCCCTCTCCCCATCCAAGGAAGGCCCAAGGTTCTGCGTGATAAGCCCTCCTGGGCCCCCAGTGCCGCACACCTTGGTCTGGTACCAGGCCTCGGCCTCGGCCCGGCTGCGGTTGGCGATCTCCTCGTACTGGGCCTTGACCTCAGCGATGATGCTGTCCAGGTCCAGAGAGCGGTTGTTGTCCATGGAGAGGACTACGGACGTGTCCGAGGTCTGGGACTGCAGCTCTGCCAACTCCTGTAGGGACCAGGCAGAACGTCAGGACTCGGGGCCCGACCCATCCCTGTTCCCACACCCACTCTGGGGTCCTCCACATGCTGGGGAAAGAAAACGGGAGAAGAGGCCGGAGTGGGCTTGAGTTTGAGTCACCAGGCAGGGAGGAGCACAGACCCAGCACCTGCCAAACATTTCTGCCCATCCCTGACTCCCCAAAGAGCCCATTAGCAACTTCTCAAATAAAAGAGTCTAGTGGGGCCACAGCAGATCAAGAAGTGACAGAGTGTGGGGACCTGTGAGGGCTCCTGGCTATGAGGGGCTCTTGGGGCATGAGCTCTGTTGCAAAGGGGATCAGCAGGGAGTGGGCAAGATAAGTCATATTCCACCCTACAGTGGAACACTCTGCAGCCTTGGAAACCAATGATACAGCTGTATTTATGGACAGGGAAATATACCCATGGTATACTGTTACATGAAAAAAAGCATGATTCTATTTTTATTAAAATATATATTTCTATATCTCTTTGTGTATATGTGCACAGAAAAAGTCTCAAAAAGTAGATATCAAGATGACAAGAGCGGGTATAGGTGACCTGTTTTCAACTTTATGCTTAATTTTCTGGATTTTTTGCAATAAGTATATATTTCATAATGAGAGGAAAATAATTATTTATATATATATACACACACACATGTACATATACAGACATGTATATATACCATGTGATAGACATGTGAAGACCTGCAGTGAGATTAGAAGAGCCAGAAGTCACCCTCAAGGATCCAGCCCCTGAAATTCACACATGTGGAAATTCGCTCTGAGGGGCTCACGGAGGCTGGATGTTCCGGCAAAGACACTAATTAGCCTCACGTGTAGTCATATCCCAGAGCAGCCCTGCCAGATGATTGGCTACCCTATCTTCTGCCTCTGGCCAGAGACTCACACTGGTGAGAGCAGAGAGGTTTTTAAATCCCTGGGAAGGGCACAGAGCTGGAAGCCCAGGGCAGGGCCAGGCGGAGAGGGGGAGGATGAGGCCAGGAGGGGCAGACAGAGTGGCCGGCTAGTGGGCGGCCATCCACCCAGTCCCTCTGAGTGTAAACTCTCGGGCACTCCAGTCTCTCCTGACTTGGACTCCTGTGCCCGCCGCACCCAGCCCACCTTTGAACTCTGTCACAGCCTAGGATCCCTCAACATCCTCCTGGTTCCTTTCAGCCCCTCCCAGTCCCCTTCTTGGCAAATGGTCATCCCATGTCTCTGGAAGGTGATCCTGACTAACCCCATCCTGCTCTGCTGCCCCCAGCTCCTCCCGAACTCCCTGCCCATCATGGATTCCTGAGTCCGGAAAAGATAAAGAGCAGGATAAATGTCCCCCCACACACTCAACACACACCCCAACTGGCCCAGTGCAGGGGCTAGACCAGATGGCCCCCTGGTTAGGACATGTAGGACATGACATGTCTCCCTCCCCCAAGATCTTACCGTCTCATTGAGGATCTTCGAGAATTTGATCTCGTCATTCAGGGCATCCACCTTGGCCTCCAACTCCACCTTGTTCATGTAGGCGGCGTCCACGTCCTAGGGGGTGGTGGCGAGAAGCGGGAGAGGGACACCGTGTCCTCAGTACACGGAACATTTAGCAGGGGTGGGAACAAGCCAGCACTATCCACCCCACAGGGCCAAACACCACTGCGCTACCAAGAAACACAGTTTCTCCAGGCTGCCTGGCCTGCCCACAGCAGGAAGTTTCCTCCACTGGACCCTCCCAAGTTGCGTGGTGGGCATCATGTCCATGCTTCCCAGGACTGGAGCCAAGAGCAGCCCGAAGCCCCAAACCTAGCATTTTCCCAGTTCCTAAAGGCTTTGGTGGTTTGGACACATCCCTGGCTCTGCCACCTACTAGCTCTGTGACCTTGAACAGATCACTTCAACACTGTGAGCTTCAACTTCTCATCAGTCAAACAGGGGAGCATAAAACCACTCAGACTCCAGGACACCACTCCCAGAGACGGGACATCTCAAGCCTAAATGTTTAATTCTGAGGCAGGTGGTCACAGCTAACAATGCAGGTCCGGATGATGCCTGGGCCCCGTCTAGCCACACTTTCCTGTGGGCAGAGCCACTTTTACTCATCCCTGAATCTCCAAGGGTCCAGCACTCAGGGTAGGTTGTGTTCATGTGGATGGGCCCGGAACACTGAGCTGCTCTAGTGAGTGTGTGCTGAATCAGAATCTTAAATCAAGCCCTTCTAAGGTATTCCTAAGGCCTTCCAACCTCGGCTTGCACATCTCCAGGGACGGGGAGCTCACTCTGCCTCAAGGCAGCCCATCCCATTCATTCAGCAAATCTTGCAGGCCTGCCATGTGCCACCCTGGTCTGTAATGAAATGTCCTGACTGTGATGGAGCACTGCGTTATTCGGGGTTGAAATCTCCTTTTCTAACCTCCATTCTTTGCTCTTAATTCTATCCCCTCCAGGCCCAGAAACAAGTCTAGTGACTCACCAGACACACACACAAATACACACACACACACGTGCACACACAAACACACGCACACAAGACAGACCCTGCTATAAGGTTTCCAGGTCTCTCCTTCTCCAAGCCCATCACTCCCTTCTTGTAGTCCCCAGGCCAGACCTTGGCTGCTCCGGTGGGAGAGCCATGTGGTCCCCTGTCCCATGTGTTTTCAGATAACGCCCCCCCCCCACCCCACCCCACCTGTCTGCCCCCTCACCTTTTTCAGCACCACGAACTCATTCTCAGCAGCCGTGCGACGGTTAATTTCATCTTCATACCTGCAGCAGAGGAGGGTGGCATTGGTGCAGCTCGGCCTCCATCCCCTCTCCCGTCCAGGTGTTAAAATCTGCCCTGCATCACCTTCACCCCCTCCTTAATGACACACCTGAAACAGGTGTCAGCTACGAAACCAAATGTCCCTGTCTTTTCCATGTAGCTATTCCCAAGGCTTGGAGTCTTGGCATGGGATGGGGGTGGGGGAGCAGGGAACATGTGTGAATTAAAGAGCAAAGGCTGTGTATACTGGTAAAAAGAAAGCAAATAATAGTAGCCATGCTTATGGACCGCTTCGTGTGGGGCCTGCCCTGTATGTGCTTCCCATGCATTGGCTCATTTCATCCTCACGACAATCCTGTAACAACGGTACTGTGATTAGCAGGGAAGGGAATGGAGGCACAGAGAGGCAGGGTGATCTGTCCAGTCACCAGGCTGCTAAGTGGCAAAGCCCAGATGTGAACCTTGGCAGTCTGACTCGGGTCCGTGCCTTAACCACTACCTAATCTCACCCCCCGAGGGTGATGAAAGGGCCTGAAGGGAGGACCCTTGTGGAGTCATGAAGGGGGATGACAAAGTTCTTGAAGAACCAGGCCCCAACTGGGTGGCCTAGCCCCTACTCCCACAGCGCCGCCCATCCCTCTGTCTCCCAAGGAGCCAGTTCCACCCGGAGGAGGACGCAGGGCACAGAGCAAGAGAGCACCTGGGCCTCACCCAGTATTTATTTGGGGACTTTTTAAAAAAGGTGTTGGAAAGAGGTGCCTGACCTCTTTCCAGTCGGGAAAGAGGTGCCCAGAAAGAGCAGTGCCCAAGAGCTGCTGGACAGCCGCAGGGGCCACGCGGGGCGACCACAGTGGGGAGCAGGATGCTCTGGGCAGACCCCCTCCCAGAGCCCAGACTCCCAAAGTCCCACTCCCTCAGGTCCTACAGAATAGTTATGGAAATATCCTCATGGGTCCACCCCTGCCTGGCTGTGCCACTGGGCCCAGAGCGTGCGCAGATGGGAGCTCTCTGGGCAGCTGCACCCAGGGCCCCTCCTTGTGTCGCTTCCAGCCCCAGAGCTCAGCCTGGCTCCACAGAAAAGTGCTCTGCGGGCTCCGGGGTGGGGGAGTGTGTGTGCACATATATGCAAGCCAAGTGCGCAGAACAACAGGGGCTCGCTGGTGGCGCCAGGCCTTCCCTGCCCTGCACCTGTCTGCCTCCACCTGCTCGGATTCATCCTGTTGACTGTCGCCCTAGGGAACTAGGGGGTAGGCACGCTCCACAGACGCCTTCTTTCTACCTCCAGTCAGAGCCAGTGTCCCTGAGCTCGGGCTTAGTCATGCACCCCCAGGCGGAGCACAGAACTCACTCACTAGCCCCGTGTGTCCACCGGGCAGGGACACCAGGGTGCGGCCAGCCCAAGCCTCAGGCTTTGGTTTCCATTCAATGAGAAAAGAGCTCAGCGGGCACCTCAAAGGCCTGTCCTCAAAACCCCAGCCCTCCCGGCTGGCACCCCCGCCCCTCCTCACAGCCTCCTTTCCAGGTCCTGCCCTGACCAGACCCGCCCCTCAGCCTCCCCAGCCCCTCCCAGGGCTCACAGTGACCCTTCTCTCTCCTTGCTTCTCCGGTCCCAAGTCAGCTCCCCGACTCCTCCTGGGAGTCAAGGGCCCCAAATTCAAGTCCCAGCTCTCCTAGTGGTCTGCTGTGTGATCTCCATCAGGTCCCTGAACCTCTCTGGTCTCTAATTCCTCCTCTGAACAGAATGGAGTTGTCCTATAGCATAGTCTGTGAGGGTCATTCAAGTTCCGGAGCACGTGTGTGGTAGGACACCTTCTGCCCCACCCTCTCCTGGGACAGGCACCCAAAGGGGACAGTGCAGGTCAGGGCTGGGCGGAGATAGTCCACGGGCAGGAAGTCCAGAGAAAAGACCAGAATGACTTAAAAACAGCCCCCAGAACAAAGTAGGGGGAGGGAGAGACAGGGAATGTGTTAGGACCTTCCCTTCAGGGAGTTATTGTACGGAGCAGCCGCACCCTCTGACCCCTAAGAGGGGACTTGCAGAGGGCTGGTTGAGGAGAGGCATGTGGGCCCAGGACACGGATCCCCGCGGGGGGCACTGCGGGACAGTACTTATTCTTGAAGTCTTCCACCAGGTCCTGCACACCCCGCAGCTCCACCTCCAGGCGGCCCCCGTCCATCTGCAGCCCCTCGAGCTGCCTCCGCAGGCCAGCAATCTGGGCCTCAAAGATGCCCGGGAGGCAGCTGCCCTTGGCCGACTTCTGCTCCTGCAGCAGCGCCCACTTGGTCTCCAGCAGCTTGTTCTGCTGCTCCAGGAACCGCACCTAGAAGGGAAATGGAAGAGGAGACGGTGTCATCCACAGCGGGGTTGGGAGGGTCTCTAGCCACCCAGCAGAGCCCACGCTCCCACTGGCTGTTCTCCCCCAGCCTGTGGCCCTCTCCTCCAGGAAGCCCACCCTGGACAAGCCTCTCCTCCAGGACTCTGTCTCAAGTGTCTTAGAGTGTGACCCAGGGGTCAGGTCGGCCTGCTCCACCGATGTGTGCGGTGCTCGTGCCAGGGCCTCCTCCCTCCTGTGCTCCCCATCCATCACAGGTGACCACCCCACTCCCTCTCTGAAGGGCTGCCCCCACCTGTCAGTGTCCTAGGCCTCACTCGGCCCCTCCCTTCAGGCTGGGACCTCATCTCGTCCTCCCTCAGTATCCTCTCTCCCCTTTCCTCCAATGGGCCTCTGGACAGGGCACTAGAACCAAGGCCATGCAAAATGAGCACCTAGTCTGTGCTCAGCCCTGGGCCCCAAAGGCCCCCATGGAGCACCCAGTACGACTGGGGTGGGAAGCCAGCCTCCTCAGAACCAGCAACTCAGGGCAGCGGGACTTGGGGGCCGCAGATGGTGAGAGAGAGGAGCTCCACAGCAGGGGGGAGCCTGGGCAGGAAGGGCTTCAGAAGAGCCTGGAGTATAGTCAGGGCCTGCACGGTGAAGGAGAGGGGGATGTGGGGCCAGGAAGCAGAGAGGGACTGGAAGGCAGGGGAGGGGAAGCCTGGTCTACACTCCAGGGAGGAGGCACTGGCCAGAGAGGCCCCACTGGGCTAGCCCTTAGTTCCAGGCATAATCTCACCCCTACCACCAAAGAGAGACTGGAGAACCACGTAGGTGTGGTGGTGTGGTCGTGGGGGGAGCCCCCCTCCACCTCCCTCCAGCCCTTTACTTCCATCATCTGCAGAATCTGAGGGGGAGGGGCGTCTCCTCAGCTAGGAAGCGCATGTCACCCCTACCGCATCTCTGACTCCAGCAGCCCCCTCTCACAGAAAGGTGCCCAGAGAGAGAACTCCTGGCCTGGCCTCTGGAGTGCCAACTCGATACCGGCAACAAAACCGGCCCAAGAACCGCAGCCGCCTCGCAGACACAGCCAGGGCAGCCAGCCGGACAGCCCCAGGCACACATTCTGGGAGGCAAAATCCCAGCGATTGGGCAGCTTGCTGGAAGAGAGGGCTTGGAGACTGCGGGGGACAAAAGAGCCACAGGGTTCAGGGGGAGGGGGAAGGTCCCCGATATTGGCAGAAAGAGAGCCCGCACCAGTCCTCCCAGCGCCCGACCCGCGTGCAGCCAGGGCTGGGGTGGCTGCTGTGGCCTGGGGCGTGGCTCGGCAAGGCGCTGGCCGGCTCACCTTGTCGATGAAGGAGGCGAACTTGTTGTTGAGGGTCTTGATCTGCTCGTGCTCCTCTTGGCGCACCTGCTGGATGGAGGGGTCGATGTCCACCCGCAGCGGGGCCAGCAGGCTCTGATTGATGGTGACCTCGCGGATGCCGGCGCCCCCCGGGCCCGGGTAGGCGGAGCGCACGGCCACGCGCGGCCGCGAGGCGCCCAGGCCGTAGAGGCTGCTGCTGCCGAAGCCGCCGGGGCGCACGGAGCTCAGGCGCACCTGTGCGCCGCGCCCCGGGAAGGCGGCGGAGCGCGAGCTGAAGGCCTGGGAGCTGAAGTGGAGGGACATGCTGGCTGGACAGGGCTGGACGTGGCGGCGGGCGACAGGGGGCCGAACTCGCTGACCTCCGGGAGACTCGGCCGCTTTTATCCGCTAGGCGCGGGCGGATCGGCTGACACAGGTAGGGGCGGGGCTGGCCGCCGGCCACCGTTCTCTGCCCGCCGGCCCCTCCCGGGGCCCCGCTTCCGCCCCCGCGCCGCCCTCCTCGCGAGGCCCGGGCTTTCGGTCCAAGCCGGAACCGTCCAGAATGGGGAGGAAGGCGAAGCCCTCCAGACCCCCTAATGCAGGCGGACGCAGAGAGCGGTGGGAGACAGCGGTCCGGGCCGATCTGAAACGGTATCAGTCAGGGAAGGCTTCCTGGAGGAGGCTTGGGGAAGGGGTGAAGAATATCCAGATTTCTGAGGCCAGAGCAGAGAGATCAAGCGGTCAAGGATTGGGGGAAGGAGTGGACAAAAAGTTCTAGTCCAGGAGTCAGTCCAGCCCCGCTACCTAGGCTACTGAAAGCCAGAAAGGCGTTCCCCGACGCTCTCCCTCCCCTCAAGTGCAGCTCCTCCTTGAGAGTTCAGCTCAGTTCTTGAGTAACCTGACCCCAGGGTGGGCCTGTCCTGGCTGATTTCCCTGACCGCTTGTCCCTACACCTCATTTCCATATAGAAACTAGGCCGAGTGGGGCATGACCCCATTTCTTGGCCCTCTCCTCCTGTTCCAATAGGCATCTGAAGCCCAGAGGCAGGTGGGAATGGTTACCCCGGGTGTATGCTTCCCCCATCCCCAATCACGTTCCTGTCCACTTATTCTGTTTTGTCCCTGTAGAGGAAGAGGACACCTGTGTGTATTCGGGACACTTTGTGGATGTCTGTACACTTCTGTGTGTACACACCTGCAGGCCACTGGGCTTCCCTATGTGCACACCTGTGTGCATGTCTGTGAACGGTCTTATACAAGTGGGCGTCTGTCTTCAGGGGAGGGGGGTCTGTGGATGCACACTTTCACACTTTGTGTGCATGTCTGTGCGTGTGCTTGCATTTACACTCAAATACTGCCCCCTCCCCCCATTTTCCTGTTGTAAGGTCCTCAGCTCTCACCGCCTCCCCCACCTGAAGCCGCCACCAAACAATCCCCAGTGGATTCAAACCCAGCCCAAGAGGGAGATCAACATTGTACTGGGACAGGGAACACCAGACGGAGACAGCTGCGCTGCCCTCCCTTCCTAGGAGCTTCCAGTCTCACATGCCACACCCTCTGCAGGTCCCTGCCCCGTTTCCCCAGACCCAGCTCACTAGAGGGGCCACCTAAGAGCCTTTGGAAAAGAGAGCTGCCAGGCCTGTTGTCACCTTTAGCCCAGCTCCAGCCCCGCCCAATGAGCTGGCCAGGTTGTCACCGCAGAACAAGCCTTTGGGGGCGTCCGGGTGGAGGAGGGTGGGAATGGAATGCCCTTCCTGGTTTCCATCTGTTAGACCGGAAGGCCTTCCGGAGGAGGCTACATGCAGCAGCCCCTTCTCGGGCATCTCAGCAGACACCCACACCCCTCCCTGCCCTCTCCTCCATGGGGGTGTCAGGACAGCTTAGGCCAGGGGTGGAGGGATACCCAGGGAAACCTTCAGTCATGTCTGCTGCAGGGTGTGTGTGTGTGTGTGTGTGTGTGTGTGTGAGAGAGAGAGAGAGAGAGAGAGAGCGTGAGAGAAGGGGATGGGGAGAGTTAACCTGGAATTCTCAGCTGTAGCTTGAAGAGCGTCAAGATTGCCTGGCCCTGAGATATTTGCTGTCATGGGGGTCCCACTCCTCCCCCACCCCCAACCCCCAAGCAAGCAAAAGAGACCCAATGTTTAATTTCCACAGACATATACACGTATACACACACTCACACATACACTCACACACACACATGCACACCACATCACTCTCGCACACATACATGCTCACATACACACATATACACATACACACAATACTATATCACACATACACAGACACACACACCACATCACTCACATGCACGCATACACGCACATACATACCACATCTCACACACACACACACACACACACACTCTCTCTCTCTCTCTACAACTTCCTTACCCCTCAGGGCTCCTCCTCAACTCTTTTTCCCACTACAGTACCTCCCACCCCAGCCCCCTACCCCTCCACC